TTAGAGTCAAACAGCTATATAACTGCCTTCCTGAGTTCGAACCTAAAAAGGAAAGGCGATGAATTCAGAACAAAACCACGCTCTCAGCTTTATTGGTCTGCATCGCAACTTTAATGGTTTATTAAACACGGGGGGGGGGTTTCCACCTCTTTTTAAATCATTGTTGCCTTTACCAAAGCATGTTCACACTGTGCAAATATGAAAAACCAAAACATTTATACAGTCGACCTTTTCCCCATCCGGTCATTTTCTGTATCCCCAGTGTAATTATTTGAGATCTTTACATTTGAAGAAGACTCTTGCTCCCTCCCAGCCCAAGTTCTATTTCTGGAGGGGACTCATAATTGTGTGTTTGTTAATGTAGCAGTCTGTTGCCATGAGCATGGGTGCGACGTCACCAATTTACCATTGTGGCTTTGCCACAGAGTGTAGGACTGTCAAGAAGAAGTACTCACTTACACACATCAGATTTTTCCCCAATTAATAAGCATGCAGAAGATTGTGGTAAATAATGAGCGGTAGCTGTTTTTATGCTTGTGTTGGATATATCACCATTTTTCCTAGTATCAGACATATCCCTGACTTCTAAATGTAATGTGTAATGCTCAGCCATTGTCTGTTAAAGAGCTAGCATGTAGGGTTTTTTTCCCTGCAAACAACAGATCAACCCGTATAAGGTCTTCAATTAAATTGGAGCTGCTTATCAAAAATGCTGTTGTTTAGTAAGAAAAAGACATCTGATATGTCAGACTGCAGCATCCAGTAACCAAGTATTTTTGCTTCTCTATACAGATCTATACAGATCACAAGAAGGTGTTTTGTTTTTTTAAACTAAGATCCATATTCCCATTCCAGTTTCAGTTAAATATAACCTTTTTCTTCATTTGTCCTAAATTGTGGGGTGATTTGTTTGTGCTTTGATCCAGGCATGGTTGCAATTTGCTGGTAGCTTAATAGGATGGGGGTAAAATAGGTTTAATAGGAATGGATAGAAGATTGAAGCAAATCCTCAACCAATACAAATTAGCACAGTTTTGGTGAAGTCGGTGGAACTATGATGATTCATATCAGCTGAAGAACTGACCCATAGATGTTTTTATGACTCCGAGGGATTTAGGGCACTGGATAACTGTATTACATCACTTTCATGCGATGCACTTCTTCTGAAGCCACAACTTTACTGCTATGGGTACTAAGCCAGCTATATCAAATCTAATTACAGCGGGCACATCTACACAAGGCACTTTACTGCGCAGTAGACTAATTTGCTGTGCAGTAAAGCATCACCGTCTACATGTGCACAGCAATTAGTGTGCAGGAGACTAATTTACTGCTCTGCCAGGTAGTCCCATCAGATACAAGTAGTATTGGACAGTGCAGTAAATTACTGCGCTTAAATGCACATGTAGATGGCAATGTCAGGATTAGCTTACTCTGGCTCAGATTGAGCCAGAGTATATTGAGTTGCATTAATTGCATGTGTAGACATGCCCAGTATGTCTACAAGTGGTGTGATCCTATCTCTCAGTTGCAGGAGAGACATAGCCTATATTATCTGAAATACTACACAAGTAGGGAATAGAAAATAGGGCCAATAAAGATCCTTCTCTTGTGAGATCTTCTGGAATGGTCTAAAACCTAGATTTAGCATTTTTGCTCAGCAACTAAGTGGTGATGGCTATGTGGGTCAGCAACTGAGCATGCTGTAGCCTGTGCTTCAACTTAAGCATTTGCCCAAGCATTTTTCTGAATGAGGACCACAGTCTCTAAGTGGACCACTTCCACACTGTTGCAAAAATCTCTCATGGTTCAAGCACCATATATCACTGGATTTTATATTTTCAGCCTCCAAAATATTTCAGTAATTCTTTCATATTTGCATGACATTGAAAAGTAATAATAATATTCGAGGGTGGAATCAGGGGTGGGGGGACTGCAGTCTCATCCCCTTTTTGCTGTGCCACATGTGTGTTGCCTCTTTCCATTGACTTCAGGTTCTGCTGTAGGGGATCATGCAGGAAAACCTGGGATCCCTATGTCCATTTGAACCATTGAGAGCATTGGACACATCCTTAATCTCTTAGTTTTGTTACCCGTAACTCACAGTTAATGATACTTTCCACTGTTAAATGCTTTAAAATTTAGAGTAAAAATGCTCAACAAGTGACAATAGTGATCAATATTTAGAAAAGTACAACTGGAGGGAACCTCAGGATGTCATTTGGTCCAGCTCCCTGCTCCAGGCAGGTTCATCTCCCTCTACAGGGATTACAGACAAGTGGTGGTGTAGTCCAGTGATGCTCAACCTCTAGAAGCTGGCAGGATAGATCTGGCCTGCAGGGCTCCCAGGTGGTCAGAAATTTGGTAGCAGGAAAGTGGTGGCAGTGTTAATTGCCTTTCCCCTGCTACCAAATTTTAGGAACCAGGGGGAGCCCCTGGTGCCAGACAGTATGACCCTTCATGCTAAATCATGTGAGTGCATTGTTAGATCTGGTATACGGGGTAAGGCCAGTAAACTATCAGTCTTGGTGTGCCAAGTTAGGCTGGCACAGAGCCAGATCCAAGGACCAGCCTCAGTCAGGATCTGAACCATGGACAAAATCTATGCTGAATCTGGCCTGCGAACTGGTTCCATGCCGCTCATCCAGCCCATGAGGCTAAAAGGTTGACCACTTCTGGTCTTAATAACGTTGGGAACACCCAATGATGAAGATGATGAGCATAAGCACTTTTGACATCAGATTGAAGAAACACGTCCCTAATTTGCACTTTATCAATGTACTGCATTGTGTTCTGACAGAAATATAATGCAATATTATTTTTTGGTGTCTATAGAGTGCGCAGAGGTTCCTGGGCTCTTCATCTACCTCACCTTTTGTTTCATTGTAAATACTGTAAACAGATGTGCCCGTTTGCATGCTGTTCATGTTAACTTCTTGGAAGGAAGAATTGCAGTATAATATGATTTATAACAGTGGTAAATCTTGTCAGCTGTATGCCTGATGGTTGCTTCCTCATTAGTCGAAATGATTTGAAATGCAGATGTGCTTTTTCTCAAAAATCTGAGATAGACCTCAACAATCCCATATTGTTTGCACCTACAGATGAAATTAGAACTTCCTCCTATTGTCCTACATGTATGTCCCATCGTCCCCAACTGACGCATATTGAATAGCCCTCTCTTTTCAAATAAGGCTATGACATTTTCATGTTGAAACTGTTTTTAAATCTGAGAAGTGGCCAAAATCCAAGATTATTATCTTTCCATCCTTGGCATGTAAGGTTGTGATCCTTTCAAAAGAAATTTCTCCATACCGTGCGCAGAGTTTTCACAAATTCCTTTCAATTCAGTGTTAGAGTCAGTACAAATAGCTGATATAGCTGTTAGCCATCACCGAAACTCCTACATTGTTCTTCTCACTTGCATTATGTAACGGTGCCATGGTGAAACTCAACAAGTTTACATAGTTTTTTCAGTCCTGAAAGGATTGAAAGGAGGTTAGAAATGTTATGAGATTTACAATAAATCCTTGTTTCAGCATTATAAGAAATACTATAAGAAAATAACCTCTGGGATGCTTGGGATAACACCAAAGAATGCAAAAAGAATGGCAGAAACCAAGAAATAACTGCATTTTTCAGTATCAGAACCCATTTTTAAAACAGAAAATGGAATTACATTTAAGGTTGGGTTGAAATTTAAGCCAGATCCTATTGCGTCCATGCCAGTTTGACCGCTGTATCCTTTCCCCTTTCATACTGCAATACATTTTAATTAAGTTGTCCAAAGATAGGGAACAAAAAAAATTAGATGTACAGAAATACTTACAGTGTTAAAAAAATGACTAAAAAACCATGTGCGTTTTTTTTGAGAGGACAGAAATAAGAGGGAATATGAGAGAGGTATATCAAATAATTAAAAAATAGAGAAATGTTCAGTTGGACATTTTCTTTACCCTCTGGCACAATGCAAGATTCAGGAGAGACCCATTGAAATTGAGATCAGCATAGTTTAGCTAAAGGAGGGAATTCCTTTTTTTTTATGTACTATGTAATTAATCAGTAGCATTTATTACCGCAAGATATCATAGAGTCCAAAATGGTTGGTTTCAAAAAGACGTTAGACATTTATGAGTACTATAAGAATAGCTATAATTACACAAGATAAGATAAAAATATGATATGGGTTATAAACTCTCATGTTTCTGGACATAAACCAACTACTAAGTGATGCAATGCATGGAGGAAAAATCTTCCTCTACAGAGAGGATATTCTGCAATTGTTATGAGATTTTTTTTTTAAATCATCACTGATCACTTTCTGAGAAAAAATAGCAAAGTAAATGGACTTTTGGCATGGAACAGTGTAGCAATCCCAGTGTTTGTAAAGGTAGAGCATTTGATCTAAACATTGATCTTCCTTTATTTTTTCCTATGATGGAGACTACTATGCACGATATATATATACAGCACTGCCTGCAGTTAATGGGCAAATATCATGGATAACAATGATAAAATTCTTGAACTCAAAACGGGAGAAAATGGTATATAAACCTTTGCTACTATTATCCATATTTTATATAATAGAAATCAAATATAAGATGACATGCATTCCGAAAATGTCATCCATGGAAGTAATGTACAAAAATGAAGTTTGTCTTATCCTAAGACATTTTTTGATAAATCTGTTTGGAAGAAAGCACTGCTATAGTTTTGTGGCTTCAGTTCCAATAATCACTGACAGCCGTTTTCCTCTCTCTTTAGTTCAGTAGCCTAGCACTTGACTAACTTCTTGTAAAACAAATTTTAACACGCATTTTCAGCAGATTTTATGTAACTAAAAGCACATATGTTTCTCATTTTCCTCAGAGAAGTGTATTCTAAACAAATTTAAAAAGTATAGCCATATTTGTGCTTGGGGAATAGGCTTTCCAGGCATTAGAAATGCCAACTGTTGTGAAAGGAAGAGTTGTGATTGAATCGTCTCATATCTTTTCTAGGGTGCGCAGTGACTTTGATGTGCCGACAAACCGAATGATAGGTATCCACGGATACTGCACACAGGTAAGTAAGGGAGATGACTGGATATTAGAAACAGCACGCCTAAGAAATGCTACAAAATGAACTTAGTAAATGCCACGTGACTGGCCCCCCACAAACACACCGATGATTGATGCCAGGGAGGAAATGGCAATGGATGGATCACACTACACATGCCCTGTTTATATGCTGTCCTTCTGAAACCTCTGCAAGACGTTAATATGATTGCATGATTAGGATCTGAGACATTTAATTCCTAGTCCCCAAAACTATGTATCTTGCCATACCAGACGTGCATTGGCCCTGGGACCTGGGCTTCCTCTAGTGACTGGGTAGGTCCTAAATGGGTGGAGGAGAGCTCCAAGTCCTGGGCAAGGGCTGGGGGGCTGTGTCTGAGAGCTGGTGCTGCCTCCTGCCTGATGCCAATGATCACTTGATCCCAGGGATTGGGTATGGGGCGGCTCTGTTTTGGTTCCCAGGCTGCATTGTGCCCCATCCTACTGATCTTTGGAATGAGGCATAGGGAGCTCTGGGTCCAGAACGTGTGCCAGGACGTGCCACATGTTCAGTTTAAAGTTCGACACAGACCAGCCACACAGACATTCCACATTAAATGTTGAATAGGTTTGTGGCTGGTTTGCCCTTTTATTGTCATAAATTGGCTAAACATATGGCATGTTTCAATTTATGGTGTGATTAGCATGCCATAAATGTAAATCATTAATTGTGCCATAAATGTAAGATCTGATAGGGCTCTAACGCATCTACTACTTGCTGCTTTTGGAGATAGGATAATGGGTTAGACCTCTGTTCCAAACCAATATGACACTTTTTATGTTTGCCATCCTGCTCTGAGCACACTGCCTCTAAAATCAGGAGCAACATAGCTACATCTGTGTGGTCGTGTATGACACTGCCAGGCAGCCCCATGCTAATTGGATCACCCCCAGTTGTACACAGATACAACCACACAGCCTATCCAGAACAATGGAACATGATAGAGGGCACCACTGCCAGTCAAAGTTAGTGCAGGCATGGCTTAAACACAACATTTAATGTTTCATGGTCCTCTTGGCTCCCCATCTCAAGTGTCTTCCTTCACTTTTCTTTTATAAGACTTTTGTTTTCTCCTCTTTGCTTCAAAAGATTTGCTTTTTTATCTCTTCTTTCCCGTCTGAAATAAAGTGCCTAATTTATTATTGCAACTTTCCTAAGCTTGCTTGGTTGTTCTAATTCTTTATTTTGGCAAGCTTAGGAGCATGATCCAAAGCCTGATAAATTCAATAAAATGTCTTCAATTGATGTAATTAATTTTTGATCAGTACCTTGGCTGGCCAAGATATCTCCCAGTCCTTTCTAACAGACTAGGATTCTCCTTGATGGATTCTTAGTGGAAAAAATGAAAATAAAAGTTAACTTGCTCTGTAAGTATAATGATGCAAGAAGTGATGTTTGTTGATAAAAAGATAGTGGTCTTTCCTCTTAGTCTACTCTGAAACAAGCATTGCTCAATTCGTCGTCTTAGACCAAGAAGCATCTGATTTTGGAAAGATTTTTAGCCCTTAAATTTCCCGCCTTGAACTGTTAAACCCTCATCATTATGGCCAAATTTAGACTCAAGTAATTCCATCTATGGTACCCAAATTTTTTTCTAGTTTCAGTTGGAAAAGGGAATTCTTCTTTCCTGCCCTAAATCTGTTCTTTACATGTTGCTGTCTATTGGCAAACATGCACATTGCATCATCCGAGAGGTGACTGAACTTTCCTAGAGGATTAAGAGATGCATTTGCCTAGGATATACATCATTAAAAGTCAGTAAACCTCTTGCGTTCCTTCAGAATAACAGTTGGCTTACAAACAAATACAATTATTCATAAATCAAGTTGAAAAGGGCAATAACATAGTTATTTATGCCTTAGAGCTAAGGGAGTCTTATTCCTGAAAAGTTCTCTTCCTATTTTTCCCCCTCTGTATTCAGACATATGTTGTTTATTAATGCTAAGCCAGTTCTTTTCTGTGGCGCAGTCTGCCTCCACAGATTGCTATGTGCCATTATCCCTGTCACTGGCACTACCATGTGTTTGGGGGGGATATACAAATTGAGATGTGCAATGTCCGATTTGGTTCCTTGGCTTTACAAAAATGCCAATGCACTATTTCAAGGACCGGCTCACAGTACACACAAACACAAATCAGGAGTCTGACAAGTCATATGTGTATGCCTTTAAGCAGAGGTGTCAAACTCACCTGGAGTCCCAAGCTGGATTTAGACTGTGGGGCTTCTTGCAGGCTGGATCCAGCCCAGGGTATGGGGGTGGTAGTTGTGGCCACCATAACAGCAGTGGATTTAGAGGCAGAAAGGGTCCAGCAGTAATGGCATTGGTGGGTCTGGAGGTGGCAAGGAGGTGCTGTCTACTAGTAGAGGGAGAGGAAAAGAAGCAGCACTTGGTCCAGGTGAAGGCGTCTGGGGATGGGAGCAGCAAGCCAAGATTACCGCTAATGGTTGTGGCCAGGACAGTCAAAGGGCCCCAAATCCCACGGCAGGTCTCCTCCCTCAACTTCCAGTGGTCTGCTAGTACCCCGACAGGTCACATAGGGGGACTCTGCAGGTCAGCTTCATCCTACATGCCATCTGTTTGACACCCTGGCTTTAATGAATGGCTCAGATGGTACATGACTAATCTCTACTCACAGCTTCATGTGAATAGAGTGAATATAATATGTTGTTAAAATATGTTAGGATACCTTATATAGTATAACTCTGCTTCCCACCCCCTCGTTAACCAGTTAAATGCTGGAGCCTTAGCTATACAAATCCACCATAATCATATGGCATTGATTCTTGGCACGTAAGAAAGATGTATAGCTGATGTTTTTCTTTGTACATGATAAACAGGAACTTGTGAACTTGCTTGTGACCGGCAAAGCTGTGTCCAATGTGTTCAACAATGTGATAGAGCTGGACTCTGGAAATGGCAACATCACCATATTAAAAGGCATCAGTGGACGCAGTGATATCGGCTTGCTGTCTCTCTTTGAGCACTATGATGTTTGCCAGGTATGTCCCATGGGCTTTTGGATTTAATTAAAATGGGAAGCAACTTAAAAATCTGAAACTAGCACAGAATGCAGTGAGCTTGTAAGGTGCCTAACACAACGGGGAGCCAATTTATTCGAGTCATCCAGCTGATGGAATAAGACAATTTATAACAACAGTGGTACAGTGTACTCCAATGATATGCATGCCCAGTAAATGCATAATTCATTTAAGTACCTGTATATTGGCAATTCCCATGTGACTGTCCTTTTCTTTATAACAAATATAACTTATCCACATATTGCGTAAGTGTGCATACATTTAAATGCATAGTTTCTTCCAGCCCCAACGTTGACTTTGCCACCTAATTAACTGGGTAATAATTGGCATTGGCATTGATGAAGGGGAAACAGATGTCAAAGCACTGCTGTTAGAAGCCTTGAAAATGATAGGAGCTAGTCAGTTTTACAGCTGTCTCCACCCATTTCTAGGCCTCTGTTAGCCATAAATGACTAGCTCTCCCTCATTTTCCATGCTTTTAATAGCACTACTCACATTAGGTTTGGATAAGTGCACAGCCTTTTATCAGTCCTGAGCCTATGCCCTTAATCAGAGTATCCTGTAATACTTGAAACAGAGACTGGCTAGCATCCTAAATAATCATGTTCCTTTTAACATACACTTTTGAAACTAATATTTCCTTTACCTTAGTAATAAAAATGCAAAATGACAATGGAAGTTCAACAACAGGGATGAGAAAGAGTTAGGCAGGTGGCAGGATAGATGTGCTCCTTCAAGACTAACTAAATCAGAGATGCGTATGCCTTTGTAAGCGACAGCTTACTTCATTAGATACGATGAAAGGACTGCAGAGAGCAGAGTTTCTAAACAGAAAGTAATGATTTGAATACAAAAAAAAAATAGAGAAGGGGAGGAAAAAGGAGAGAGCAATGCTTGGACAGGCAAGGTGGGTAGAAGAAAGAAAAACAAAGCAGCTAACCCATGGAGGGATTATAAAAGCTAGTCTGGGGAATGGGAGAAGAATCCAGGTTTGGACCATACTTAACACAATCCAGACTGTGGGTGATTTCTTGTTCCATCATTTCCCATTCAAGTTCATTTTTAAAGTTTAGGTGTGTAAGAACAGCGACCCTGAGGGCAGCGCTGGAATGTCTAGGGAGGTTAAAGTGTTTGCCCACAGGCTGGCGTGTCTTCCTGGAGCTGATATCAGCTCCATGTTCATTCATTTGTACACGTAGCAATAGCCTCTAATGTGCAAATGCCTTCTGCCTGCCTTCAGACTAATACAGCTACCTACCTATCTCTGCTCATGGTAGTGTGTGAACCACTGGGAACAATTTATCCATAGACCTGGTAGATTCTCCATCACTTGAAGCCATTAGGTCAGAAATGGGGTCATCCTTAAAGATAAGGTTTTATCTCAACCAGAAGCTACTGAGTTTGCTTCAGGAATGTTGTTTAAAATCTCTGTCCAGTGGTATGCAGATCAGAACAGATCATCTGTATGGCCCCTCCTAGTTTTATAACCCCTGCATCTCTGAAACATAAGTAATTCCCAAAGAATTTGACTTTATCAATCTGAGCTGAAACACAAAAAGGAAGCTTACAATGAGCTAACTCACAAAAAGAAAGTTTACAAGCAGTGGAAACTTGGGCAAATGACTAGGGAGGAGTTCAAAAGTATTGCTCGGGTATGCTGGGATGAAATCAGGAAGGCCAAAGCGCATTGGAGTTGCACCTAGCAAAGGGATGTGAAGGGGAACAAGAAGGGTTTCTACAAGTATCTCGGTAGGAAGGAGAGGGTCAGGGAAGTGTAAGTCCCTTACTGAATGGGGGAGGCAACCTTGTGACAGAGGATGCAGAAAAGGCTGAAGTGCGCAATGCCTATTTTGCCTTATTCTTCCCCATCAAAGTCAGCTTCCCAGACTACTGCACCAGGCAGCACAGTTTGGGAAGGAGGTGAGCAGCCAACAGTGGCAAAAGGACAGGTTAGGGACTATTTAGAAAAGCTGGACATATACAAGTCCATGGGGCTGGATGCGATGCACCCAAGGGTATTGAGGGAGTTGGCAAATGTGATTGCAGAGCTGCTGTCTTTTATTTTTGAAAATTCATGGCAGTCAGGAAAGGACGATTGGAAAAGGGAAAATATAGTGCCATCTTTAATAAGGGGGAGAAGCAGGATCCAGAGAAATACAGAGCAGTCATCCTTACCCCAGTCCCTGAAAAAGCATGGAGCAGGGTCTCAAGAAATCCATTTCTAAGCACTTGGAGGAGAAGAAGGTGATTAGGAGCAGTCAGCATGGGTTCACCAGGGGCAAGTCATTCCTGAACAACCTGATTGCCTTCTATGATGAGATGACCAGCTCTGTGGATGGGGGGAGAGCAGTGGAAATGATATACCTTGGCTTTAGCAAGGCTTTTGATACCGTCTCCCACAATTCTCGCAAACAAACTAAGGAAGTATGGGTTGGATGAATGGATTTTAAGGTGTATAGAAAACTGGCTGGGTTGTTAGGCTCAAAGGCTAGTAATCAATAGCTCAATGTCTAGCTTGCAGCTAGTATCAAGTGGACTGCCCCAGAGGTTGGTTATGTGGCTGGTTTTGTTCACTATCTTCATCAGCGACCTGGAAGATTGGATGGAGTGCACCCTCGGGAAAGTTGCAGATGACACCAAGATTGGGGAACTAGTAGATCTGCTGGAGGGTAGGGCTAGGATTCAGACAGACCGAGACAAATTGGAGGGTTGGGCCAAAAGGAATCCCATGAGGTTCAACAAGGACAAGTGCAAAGTCTTGCACTTAGGACAAAACAATCCCATGCACTGGGACAGGCTGGGGCTGACGGGCTGGGCAGCAGCGCTGCAGAAAAGGACCTGGGGGTGACAATGGACAATAAGCTGAATGTGAGCCAGCAGTGTGCCCTTGTTGCCAAGAAAGCTAACAACATACTGGGCTGCATTAGTAGAAGTATTGCCAGCAGAGCAAGGGAAGTGATTATTCCCTTTTATTTGGCACTGTTGAGGCCACATCTGGAGTATTGTGTCCAATTTTGGGCCCCCCCACTACAGAAAGGATGTGGGCAAATTGGAGAGAGTCCAATGGATGGCGAATGATTTAGGGCCTGGGACACATGACTTCCGAGGAGAGGCTGAGGGAACTAGGCATATTTAGTCTGGAGAAGAGAAGACCGAGGGGGGATTTAATTGCAGCCTACAACTCCCTGAAGTGGGGGTCCAATGAGGATGGAGCCAGACTATTCTCAGTGGCAGCAGATGACAGGACAAGGAGCAATGGGCTCCAAATGCAGCAAGGGAAGTTTAGGTTAGATATTAGGAAAAACTTTCTCATGAGGTGCTTAGTAAAGCAGTGGAACAAGCTACTCAGAGAGGTGGTGGAATCTCCATCCTTGGAGTTTTTAAAGACCTGGCTAGACAAAGCCTTGGCTGGGATGACCCAGCTGGGGCTGGGGCTGGTCCTGCTTTGAGCAGGGGGTTGGACTAGATGTGACCTCCTGAGGTCCCTCCAAACCTTAATTTTCAGTGATTCTGTGATAAGCATATATTTAAAAAAACAATAGTTGCCGTTAAATGTTTCTGGGAGGGCTGAAATGAGTGAGATTTGGTTAATAATATACATTTTAGCTGTTCATATTTTTAATTAATTCAGTATTCACAAGATCACAATTGTACACGGTCAGTTAAGAAAATACCTACCTGCTAAATTAGATGCATACTGATCAAAACAGGGCAAAGAATAGTTTCATAGTTGGTCGGGTCAGAAGGGACCTGAGCAGATCATCAAGTCCGACCCCTGCCATGGCAGAAAAGAGTACTGGGGTCAAACGACCCTAGCAAGATGTTCATCCAACCTCCTCTTAAAGACCCCCAGGGTAGGAGCCAGCACCACTTCTCTTGGAAGTTGGTTCCAGATCCTAGCCGCCCTGACTGTGAAGTAGTGCCTCCTGATGTCTAGTCTAAATCTACCCTCTGCCAGCTTGTGACCGTTATTTCTAGTCACTCCTGGTAGTGCTCGGGGGAACAGGGACTCCCCCAATGCCTGCTGGTCCCCCCTGACTAGTTTGTAAACGGCCACTAGATCCCCCCTCAGCCTTCTCTTGTGGAGGCTGAACAGGTTCAGGTCCCATAGCCTCTCCTCGTAGGGCCTGCCCTGCTGTCTCCTGATCATGTGGGTGGTCCTCCTCTGGACCCTCTCCATGTTGTCCACTTCCTTCCTGAAGTGCGGCGCCCAGAACTGGATGCAGTACTCCAACTG